CCTTGTATGTTGACCTCCAACCACTCCGTTATATCAGTATAGGAATAACTCCGCCAATACTTAGAAAAGCTTTGGTATGCCTCCATCAAGTGGAAGTTGGCGAGGAACTGCTTCTTAGCATCACTACCAGCAAACTGAGCCTCTTGCCTAGCAGTTTCCATTTCTTTAGTCAAACCGGCTACCTTGGTGTTCAACTCCCCCCACCTGCCCCTTCAACGAGGAGTTCTCTTTATTGGCCTTCTTCAAAGCCTCAGCTGCCAGCCTCTGATGGGTATCAAAAGTCTCCACTCACTTTGTTAAAGACGCCACCTCGCTTTAGGATAGGTGAATCTCCTTCTTAAAATTCTCAATTTCTGCTAAGACAGAAGTAAGCTTCACAGACTCTTTCGCCTTCTCTTCTTCTTCAATGCCTCTTCCTTGGCCTTGATGGCAGCCTCCTCAGCTTGAGAGGCTTTATTGGCAAACTCTTTATTTTTTGATAGAATGTTTTTACAGGGGACTTCAGCCTCTATGGCCACACCAAAGGCTCTCTCCACCTGGTTCACTATCGTGGAGAAGACGTCCACTGCGTTGCTGGTCTCCACAAAGTCTTGCCACCTCTCTGTACAATACTTGTGAAATGTGGCTGTGGCAGTTTGGACCTCTGGAGGAAGAAGAGAAAGCCTTTGATGAGCTGACTCCTCGCTCCCAGTATTGACGGTGAGCCTCTTCCTTGAGGGGGCCTTTGAAGCTGTGGAGTCACGATGGACTTGGACCTTTTTGAAGGTTTGTGCCTCAAGGGCTCCACGGCAAGTGGCCTCCTCTGCCTCCCAAAAGCTGCAGCTATCAATGCTACCATCAATTTTTCCACAGGAGGGATGTTGGAGCGAGGTGGAGGAATATCATTGGAGCCATCCACCCTGATGGTGGAGAACATTTGTTTCTTCTTTGGTTCCTCCACGACCATCTTCTTCCCCTTATCAACTTCAAGAGGTCACCTTTCCTCATGACTGCCAGCCTCCTCGCTAACCCTCTCTATTTTGCCTATCACTTACTTTGCTCTAGCATATGAGGGCTTCATGCTCTTGTAACCCGAGGTGGAAGTGTCGGCGAGAATTGTAGCCATGTCCAGGGTGGGATGCCTCCGCGTTTCAAAGTTTTATGCAAAGCAAAAAACAGGGTTAGACACATGTACATAAAAGACAAATGAAGCAAAAATAAAGATAAGTATAAAGGAGCAAAGTCATACTCCTCCTGGCCATTAAGCAGAACTCTTCAAAAAATCTTTTTAAACAATCAACCGGTCAAAGTTTCACGAGGAGGAGGATCGACGAAATATACCAGCAAGAGTGTCCCAATCACTCTTAGTGAGGTCAAAGCACTCAACCGACCCTACAAGATAACAAAGAAATGTTAAGTATCAGATCCAATCAGTCGAAGAAAAGAAAAGACAAAAAACAACACTCACTGCCTTCGGAGTAGGAAATTAGGACTTTGATGTGGGGGCAATATCTCCCACACACTGTTGCTACTTTTCCCAGACCCTGAACCACGTCTCCTTCCATCATATGATGGAGGAAGGTAGGCCCAATACAAAGGAGGAGTGTAACCCCCACGGACACAAGAAATACCACCCCCTAGAATCTCCTTTACCTAAAATGCAAGGTTGGAAAACTGACTTTAAGACATGAAAGGGAGTGTCCTAGCCCATGGAGGTCTCCTTCCAAAGGAAGTACGTCCCCACCAACTGGACCCAGGAGTTAGGGAGGAGTTGGGTAGTGTCCAGCCCGCACAGCCTAAGGATAGCCCGAAAAAAGGGGTGAACAGGTAGACGAAGCCCAGCCTTTAAAAGAAACTCACCGATGGCAACGCAACCTGGCCTAAGATAGTAGGCTCGTTCATCAAGAGTGGGGAGAGAAGTTCTATGTCATAGGGGTCTTTTATTTTTTTCCTAAGGTTTACTAAGTGGGACGGATCTACAGAAGAAGGATTTTGGCTGCCCCCAGGCTATACCAGTATCTCTCTTACCCTCGCCAATTGTAGCAATGCTACGCCCTACTTGAATTGCCCTAACCAGGTCGGCCATGTTGGTAATTTGTACCCCCATCTAACTAGCCAGTTCACTCAAATCCATGTCACCCTCAGAAGTAGAGGATGCTATTGATTAAAATCCTTTGAAAGAAAAGATAAAATAGAAAATACTTACGAGTTAAAGGAGATGGTCCAAAAGAAAGAGTTGCAAAAACACCAGGAAATGCGAGAAAAACAAAGAAAAAGAGAAGTTAAAAACCAGGAAGAAAAGCAGAAAGCTCTTAGGAGAACTTGGAGAAAAAACTCGAGATTTCTAAGAATGCTAACATTGGATTCGTAAGAAGCAAAAGTGGTTAAATGTTTGCCTTTTATAGGCGCGGCCTCTTAATCCCAACCATTAGATGTCGATCTGGGTCATCGACCGTTCGTTTGAAGATTAAATCTGAGCCATTCTTCCTGTCTACCATTTTATCTTCTGTGGCTTTAATCAGAATTTCTGTTCCACGCGCCCCCAAACTCCTGAAGTTCTCAGAACATGTAGGAGGCAACCATCATTGTGCATTAAATACGGTGACACTTGCGTTCATAGGAACTTGAACCACTTCAACTGTCTTTTCTTGAAAACGTATCACGACAACAAATCATTTGGGCGTAATAACTAAAGACGCCTCGTAATTATCAATACTGATGCCTGAAGGGGATCAGGCCCAACCATTTTCATCCAATTCAAACGAAGCTTCAGCTTAGCAAAAGCACTTCGAGCAAGACAATCTCAAAATTCCTCTACTTTGCTGACCCTTTTCCCAAATGATCCCAAGAGGTAAAATATTCCTAAGTAAATAAATTCAAAACAAGGCTGTTAGGAGGTTTGCACAAGTCGAACATATCCAAGATTACGGCCTGATGCAAGTCACCTACTAATGAAATTTTATCTACTTCCAAAGTCCATGCATTATATAAATAAACATGCCTAAACTTGGTGGGCTATTGTTACGCTTTGCCACCGAGGCTAAAAGTGAAATATGCCACGTAGCAATCCACGTAGACAAAAAGTCAATAGAAAAGTCAACAAAGACCCAAGTGGTCAAAGTAAAGCGAAGTTATGCAGATTATCGAGGTACTGCCTCACCCAGCGAAGCACTGGACCTAGGATAAGACGATGCTTAAAGAAACGAAGAAGGAGCTGAAACTCTCTACTCAAAGGACCGGTTCCAAGGCTCCTAGTTCATTCGAAGCTCATAAACAGATGTTGTCTCTTGCAAGATATTTGATTATCTTTTAGAAACTATTGATGTCACACTTGTAATAAAGGATGTCAAGGTGTCAGTATATTGTGCAGGGCGGCTGACCCTTATAAATGTATTAATTATATGAATAGACAATGATGTCATGTCTCAACTTAGGAGATGAGATTACGTGGTTCTGATCCAACAAACACCAATTCGACCAAGACAGTATAAATATACCTTCTTTGTAACTTAGAAGGGATTGGAAAAATTGGAGTTAGAATTATCATCTTCTCGTGTCTTGACCTCTCAAATATGGAATCAAGAAGAAATATGACCAAATGTTTTTACAAACAATTGTGTTTCCATTGCATCATACACTTAGTAGAAAAATTGTATAAGTCGATGGTTTTATAATCTACAATATTCTTTTGTTTTCTATCATTCCACATATTCTAGCAAGATCTTTGGTTGGTAGTTTTGTTCTCGTTTGGTGATCATTGTTAGCGTGATCACCTTTGTTTCACCTATTAGAGTTCGAACATCTTTATCTCTCGTCGTGAAGTACTCCCCGCATCCAAATCTGTCTCCTTTCTCACTATCTCTCCGGTAGAAACGCCTGGAATTGGTTCGACGTGGCGAGAGTGTGCCCGACATCTATTGGCTCATTTTCGGGATCAACACACATAAAACATGAAAATGGCCGTCAATAGCTCAATAATTTGCAACAAGAATAGTAGTCGATCGTCTACTATAAGTTAATGACAAAGAAGTACAGGACAAACGTCACAAAAGAACAAAACTCAATGACAATCTTAGAAATTGGACATAATAATGACTTCCAACATAATCATTAGAAAACATCAACTCATAAAAATGACAAAAAAGAAACTCTTAATTGTCTATAAATAGTGTCATTTACCCATCTAATAAAATGATTGAAAATCTAAGATTCAATTTTTGATTCTAAAAGGTCGTTTCGAATCAAGGTGCGATTAAAGGTCAGCATTCTTGAAAATCTTAACATTTACGGATTGAAGTGTAATTTCCGACCAAAATAATGCCGAAAACTCCATCTCTCTTCTTTTATACAAAGAACTTATCCAAAAACACACGTTACACACCCAAAACTCTCCCAAAAGAGGAAAAATCCTGTCAAAAATTTGAAAGAAAATTCCACTATTGCTTTAAAAATATTTCTATTTTTTGAGGTCAACAGTCACAAAGTAAGAATGAAGAGTGAATTTGACATTCTCTATTTTAAAAATTTAAAATGAATCTCTTTGATATGCTCTTATACTTCCCTGCAAACGCAAGTATTGGTCAAAAACTAATTTTTTATTTTTTTGTAGGTCAAAAAATAATTTTTTATAGTAATACTTAATTAGCATGCAATGTCGATGAATGAATATTCTTTGTTTCTCATGAAATGGCAGCGAAAACAGTTCAGTCCCAATTAAGTGAAGTGACCAACACATGTTTTCGTTTGAAGTGACAAAATTTCTCAACAGAAAGACACAATTTCACAACCTACTCATTACATCAAAAACAATAAGTGAACTGGAACACACTCGAAATCAAACATGCGCACACACATGTATATACAAATACTCACGAATCCAAACTTGCATTATTCGACAAACCAAAGAGAAATGGAACACACTCGAAATCATTCATTTGCAGAAACCGAGCTTCCGATCCCCGCAGCAAACTACAAGCGAACAAAAGGAACTGCTTCACGCATGCATTATTCAACATAATATTTCAGAACAAGAGGAAGAGTTTCTTGTCCTGCTTCTTGTTCTTGACCTGCTTCTTGACCTTTTTCACATTCAAGAAATTCGTCCACCATATAGCAGAGCTTTTCGGGAACCTTTTCAGCTGATTATTCTCAAAATCTACATGAATAATGCCAAACCTAACACTGTACCCATCGGCCCATTCAAAATTGTCGAACATTGACCATAGGTAATAAGCCTTCACACGAACACCATAGCTGAAGATGAAAGCCGAAGTAAGAACATTTATTTTGTTACAAGAATAGTCAATTAATTTCACAAATTTACTATCTGGGTTGATTCAATAATTATATGAATGATTACTTACTCCAATGCTTTTTTAAGTTGGACAAGGTGGTTATGGTGAGACCTAACCCTCAGATCATCAAACCGAGCTTGTGCAACTGTTGTTTTAGTGTTCAATTCATTCACCCCTGCACAAAATCATCCATTAAATCACATTTGTATTGATAAACAGTAAAAAATATTTTGTTGTAGAAAAACGTCCAACAAGATGCTGTGAATTTACCATTCTCTGTGATGTAAATATTGGGATTATTGTATCTTTCTTTCAAATGGACCAAGAGCTTGTAAAGCCCTTCTGGAACAATGTACAACCAACGAGAACCAGCCTGACAAAATCTAGGACATTAAAATTATACTAGAAACTTGTTGCAGTAATGCAGTAGAATATATCATTGAAATCTCTTCTGGGGGTAAAAATTCTGAGGAAGGGAAAAGTGACAAAAGTACCTGTTCACCTATGGGCGTCCCATTACGTTCCGCTACAGTGTATTGTGAGAGTGAGAACCACATTACAAGAGTGTAATGACATATAAAGTTTATGATGTTATCATCTACTTTAAAAATATCTCATACTTACTTGATGTTTGAACCTCGTGATCATTATTGTAACTTGGTATTGCGCCAGGTGTCTTTGGTGAATTTGTGGCATAATGGGTGGTGTAATAGTTAATTCCTAAAAAGTCATAGGATCCCTTCACCAGAGTAACTTGTTCTGGTGTAAATTTGGGAAGGC